CTATTTTTCAAAACATAATGAAAAGTTTTCAACAAGTATTTTTTACGTTGCAGATGAGTGGATATTAAAATTAATGATTCATATTGAACTGCAACAACACCGCAACGATTTGTCAACATAACTGCACCATTACCTATTATCGATGGTATCCATGTTCCAGTTATATTGAAATTAAGTAGCAAATGCGTAGTTTGAACAATCATAGAATTTGTTGAGTATGTGCGTGCTTTAAACGTCACTTGTCAATAGCAATGTGACATCGAGTGGTAGCGGCATCGGTGCAGCTCCTCCGCCAGCAGTCTTCAGGTTTCAGCATTATAAGCCACTAGTTCTGGCGATCCACCCGCTATTTGGTGCTGTTTCCAGTTCGCCAGCAGTTCCGGCAAATCCGGAGAACTTTGAGATTAGGGCGTAATTGCGTTTGTAAACAAACACTTAAATCACCAATTTCTCGCGAATTAAAGGACAATCTCACGAACTAACTATACGAAATGATAGAGGAACCATTCCTCTATCTGTTTGTGTTGTTAGTTTGTGAGATAGAGGTTTAATTCGCGGGAAATCGACGATTGAAGTGTTTGTTTACAAACGCAATTACGCCCTAATCTCGAAGTTCTCCGGAAATACGAGCTCCGTCTCTTACGGATCCTCAACTGCCACATCTCCGTTCGGCGGTATCAATATATTTGGTGCCCCCAGCTCATGCAACAACCAATCTATCGTCCCCTCAGGCTTGCACCGTTCTATTTAGCCCTTTGGAACACCCGCTTGGTTGAGAGACTATGGCCACGCCAGCCGCTGTTGGCATCGTCTTTAGTCACCATCGTCCCCCACCATCCGTTGCTGTCCACGAGGTTTATTCTATTGAGATGAGCATCTAGCGAGTAGTGGTTGGAGATAAGTCTACTCATCACGCGAATGAAGTCACGACTTAAGCTCAAACCTTTAAACCACACTCTCGAAGAAACATTAGGAATAATTGAACCGTCCAAGATTTCCATTGTCCCAATCGGTTTGCCAACTCGAAAGGGTACTCTGACGCACTAAATGGTAAAATTCATCCTGTGAAATTTGCCTGTCATAAAATTCGCCTTCCTGCGCGCCCACCTTTGCGAGAGAGTCCGCCTTCTCATTGCCTGGGATTGAGCAATGTGAGGGGACCCATACAAAGGTAATCATATATGATCTTTCGACCAGCACACACATCTGCTCCCTTACCTTTGAAAGGAAATAAGATGAGTGCCTACCTTGTTTCATCGACCGAATAGCCTCAATCGAACTGAGACTATCCGTGAAGATGAAGTAATGGTCTGCGGGCATGTTGGAAATCATCCCCAATGCGAAGTTGATTGCTGCCAGCTCAGCAACAAAAACGGAACAAGGTTCCTGAAGTTTGCGGAAGGCGCTAGAGTTTTCATTGAAGACACCGAAGCCAGTGGATCCATTGAGACGGGACCCGTCTGTAAAATATCTTTTCATGCAATTGACTTGTTGGTACTTTTCAGTAAAAATACGCGGAATAATAATAGGTCGAAGTTGATCGGGAATCCCATGAGTTGCTTGTTTCATGGTCAGATCATATTCAATTGAGGAACTGCGATTGGTGAAGTGAACACGGTCTGGAGTATAACAAGGAAGACACATATCTGATGATATGTAGTGGTGGTAGATTCTCATAAATCGAGATTGTGTGTTCAACCCAAGAATTTCTTCAAAATTAGCAATTATAAGTGTGTTCGTCACTCCGCATTTGATTAGTATTCTGAGAGAGAGCTCCCAGAAACGGTTCTGGAGGGGTGTTACTCCTGCCAGAACCTCGAGACTCATGTTATGCGTTGAGTGCATACAGCCTAGAGCAATACGCAGACAACGATATTGAATTCGTTCCAATTTTATTAGGTGACTTTTTCTTGCCGAGAGAAAGCAGAAAGAGCCGTACTCTAGAACAGAGAGAATAGTTGTTTTATAAAGCTCCCGGATGAGCACCCCACCATGTGCCGCAAATTGAACGGAGAAAGTTGATCCTCTGCTGACATTTTTGCTTCAAATACGTAATATGGGCATTCCAAGTGCACTTTGAATCAAACCAGACCCCAAGGTACTTGAAAGACAATGATTGGGTAATGTTTCTGCCCAAAAGATTAAGCTGCATTTGGACTGGGTACCGCTTTCGAGTAAACACTACCAGTTCAGTTTTCTGCGGCGAGAATTCGATCCCTAGATTCATAGCCCAAGAAGACAAGTTATCTAAGGAATTTTGCAATGGTCCTTGCAAGTCCACGGCATGTGGACCTCTTACGGAAACCACACCGTCATCTGCAAGTTGTCTTAGCGTGCATTGTTCTGCCAAACAGTTGTCGATATCTTTGACATAAAAGTTATAAAGAAGAGGGCTGAGACATGAGCCTTGGGGCAGGGCCATGTAACTAATTCTGGAAGTTGTCAGTTGTCCAAGAGAAAAGTTCATTTGCTTTTCTGACAACAAATTGTTCAAGAGATTATTTAAAATTCCAGAAAGTCCACATCAGGGATGCTTATTTTCTCTTGTCATTTTCAAACAATTTCTCCTCGACGGATTCGAACCACACAATAACTAAATATTACTTTTCTTTTTCAAGTCACTCTGTGCACAAAAGCAATGCACATCGCAAAAACCTAACAATAGATCAGCACGGTCGAGTCACATCGGCAACAAAGGGAAGCGAGAGTACACCAGACACCTAAGCAACAGGGGTGAAAATATCAGCAGAAATCATTCTAAATCAACTTATCGTATTTAAATGCGAGTACCGGAAAAAAGATAGTTCGAAATAAAATAAAATAAAATAAAAGAACGCAGCGGAGCAAAAACACAACCGTTCTCAAACGATTCTCAAAGCGGACTCAGTTGGCACAATGTTGTAGTTATGAAAAACTGAAAGTCTTCGGGGTTGTTCATAAGAGCCTGTGGGAAAATGTCTGCTAGACAAGCCCACAAAAATAAAAGTTCTATTTTGCCACAGACCAACCCTTGGATTAGTTCTTTTAGGTGAGCAACCAATTCTCTGAAAGTTTCAGCTCATTTGGATGTAATATGAATTTACGCTTTTAATTTGAATGTTGTAATGGGATTATGGATAAAATAGTAGAAGTAGTTGTAATTTAAACAATGAGCGACAACTTTGCTAAAGACTGATTTATGAGCATTTTGCATAAATATTACCCGTATTTATATTTTACTCCTAGAGACCTCGTTGATGGTTTCAATGCCAAGGACTTCATTTCAGCATCCAAGGTTACTTTGTATGAAACACAATCTAATTCATCGCATATTCTCACCTATAGCCCTACCTTGCAAACCTTTACTTTCTTAGTGTTGGTGATATCTGAAGATGCACAAACCAGTCGGCCGATATGGTCTTTTGAAATAATAATTCTTTAATACGAAATTTTGTTTAGTTCTTCTTATTCTTCATAGTTATCACGTTTCAACTGGAACGTTTGTCATCAACTTTCATTACATTTGCTGTTTTAAGACTGCTTTCGTTACTTGTGAAATTGAGACTACACAAATATTACGTATTCTCTTGTAAGGTACACCGGGACAAGTTGAAATGGGTGGGGTAGTTGAAATGTTAGGTGTATTTATAACTAGAAGTGAATAATCACCAAGATTATTTCAATGCCCTGTCAATGCCTCTCAGAAATAATAACAGTGAATATTCACTTCCGCTAAGAGATAAACGCACCGTTTCAACTTCCCCACGTTTCAACTTGCCCCGGTGTACCTTAACATATTTATTTGTTAGTAAACGACATGCAACTTTTATGGCATACCTCAGCCAAAGAAAGGTGGACAAAGAATAATAAAATTTATCAAAAAGGTATCATTATGTTTGCAAATTTAATCACAGCCTTATGCCTTGTGTAAACGGCGATAGATCAGTCACGTTTTTGGTTTACAAATTGAAATGAAATTCATTGAACTACAGCGCTGTCAATTTAAAAGATATTAGATTTTGACACAGATATTAGTGAAACTAAAATTAGATTCAGTTTATCTCATGATTCAGCAATATCGAAATGTAGTATGGTATAAGACGCACTCATACTAAAATATTCCAAACCGGTTTGTTAAATGAAATGTATTTTAATGTGTGAAATGCCACTCCGGTTGCAGTTTAATAGACATAATTCAGCTGCCGAAAGTTGATTATACATGTTTGGAACCCATTTTTGTATAGGATAGGAATCGAATTTTGAATTTTTAAAATAAAATTTTCAATTTAAGGATATTGAATGTCGCCTAATGTCATAACCAGGCATGGAAAATCATTTACATTCATTTGCCTCTAACTTATTTTATCAACAGCATTCCGCAAAATGATGTATAAGCTTTAGTAGGTTTTGTTATTAGCTACAACTTTTGCCCATAACTCAAATCTGTATCTCTTATGCATCACGAATTACAGCGGGCAGAAATTGTTACTGTTTTTCAGTGAATGTAAAATAAATTCACTGAAAAACACTAGAGGATTCTGTTTGCTCTGGTGTGTCATGCATAACAGATACGGATTTGAGCTGTTAACAAAAGTTGAAGCTAATAACAAAACCTTCAAAAGCTTCATACATTATTTTGCGGTATTGATGAATAAAGTTAGAGGCAAATGAATGTAAATGAATGTACGAAATGAATACAAATAATTTTCCATGCCTGGTCATAACTTTGAATTGAATATTTGCTGGAATTAATTTATAAATCTATCATTTTGCTACTATTATTGAAATGTGCAACAAAACCAATCGCAACGTCCTACGTTAAAAACGCAAACATGCTTCAAACACATTCCTTAACTTGTTTTTTACCGATATAGTCAAAAGTATGGATACTAAGTAGTATCCAGAAGAATTTGGATGACCAAAAATATTTCAAAATAATTTGTTGCCGAAAGGAAGGGCTGTTATTTATGTGTTTTACTAGCTAATACATTTTATTATGTTTGTTTAACAACTCTTTACAGCCGTTTGGGTGTCAAGAATGGTGGTTGCTCGGTTTACCACAAAACCAATCGTGAAACCATGGTTGAAATAGGAGATTCCGTACGTGGAAAAGATATCTACATTATTCAAACTGGTACTAAGTAAGTTTTAAGCAACATCAACCACACTCAAAACTCATTCGCTTTAATATCAATCTTCTCGATCATCGACAGAGATGTCAACAACAGCATCATGGAACTGTTGATCATGGCATACGCATGCAAAACTTCGTCAGCTAACTCCATCGTGGGTGTGATTCCATACCTACCATATTCCAAGCAATGCAAAATGCGCAAACGAGGTTGCATCGTGTCGAAACTGCTGGCCAGAATGATGTGCACTTCCGGGTTGTCTCACATCATCACGATGGATCTGCATCAGAAGGAAATCCAGGGCTTCTTTGACTGCCCGGTGGACAACCTTCGAGCTTCACCGTTCTTGCTCCAGTACATCCAGGAGAGCGTAAGTTGCGATCATTCAGTTGCTCTAGTGTCGTTATTAATATATCGGAAATCGCAAATAGATCCCAGATTACCGGAATTCGGTCATTGTGGCGCGTAATCCAGGTTCTGCCAAGAAGGCAACATCGTATGCTGAACGTCTTCGACTGGGAATTGCCGTGATCCACGGTGAGCAGAAGGAGTCCGAAACGGACGAGGTAGATGGACGTAACTCGCCTCCATTGCTGCCCAAGTCACGTACAATGGATGTATCCGGAGGAGTGCCAGTTCACCCAGCCAAGGAGAAGCCTCCGATCAACGTGGTGGGAGATGTTGGCGGGCGGATTGCCATCATGGTGGTATGTTGGCATGCGTTCAATGCAATCAAATTTCAGATGAAATATGCACAGTTTTAATTTTTTTAGGATGATCTCATTGACGACGTTCAGTCGTTCGTGGCTGCAGCTGAGGTCCTCAAGGAAAGAGGTGCCTACAAAATCTATGTCATGGCCACACATGGTTTGCTCAGCCAAGATGCTCCAAGGTTGATTGAAGATTCACCTATTGATGAGGTAATTGCGTTGATCAAGATTTCGCAAATCGTTTTCGGCAAATGAACATAATTTCAAATACCCGCAGGTTGTCGTTACCAATACCGTTCCACACGAGATTCAAAAGATGCAGTGTCATAAGATCAAAACGGTTGACATCAGCGTTCTTTTGGCAGAGGCAATCCGTCGCATGCACAACAAGGAATCAATGTCATATTTGTTTAAAAATGTTACCCTCGAGGACTAGACGAATCTATTCTACTTTCAATAAAAAGCCAAATTTAAGGAAAAAATGTTGACTGTCAAAAAAATTGTGGGAGCAAATTAGGTTACAATTTTGAGCTTTCGATTTCCCGTGTTGGAGCACGCATGATTATGATAGAATGGATGTCTTATAAATAAAAAAAAAGCACGACTTAGGATAAAATCCCATTCACCATCAAGTAAAATTTGTGTCCAGAGGTATTCTACAAATGTGTAGTATTTTTTGTCCTAGTGAAAGCCTACTCAGGCCCATTTGATAAGCAAAGTCACTTAATTCAATGTTTTGCTTCAGTTAGCACGATATAACTGATGGCATGCTCTTCACTAAAACAACAACAATGATTTTAAGTACAATAAGAATGATTCACGATTTACATTTTACACATAAATGATTTTTACATAAAAAATAGCGCTAGCATATGATCACAGATGAAATGAATAATAAAAATCAAGATACTGCTTGTTAAAAAATACTAAGCTAGTTTTGTTTAATTCCCATTGGATGACCGACCACAAATAATTCTGATGAATGTGAGCATGTAAGTGGAATACCTATTTGAAGAAAGAGTATTGCATTAGTAATACAAATAATTATTTGCAAAATAGAGGCTACCCAAAAACACCAAATACCAGTTGAAGTTTTTAATTGATCGTTCATTTCGAATAATGGACTTGATCAATTTGTTATTGTCTTTTTTTTTGACGTTTAGACTTTTGTGGTAGTTGTATAAAGCTTCGATCATCAATCCGCTGCGAAATTTGCATCAATTTTTACACTACGTTCAGACAATTCCTGATATTATTTTATATAAGCTATCCTGATATCAAATAGAAAGGGTATGCGATATGAGATTTCTGATGATCGATACGACATTAAATTATTTTTTTTTACACCAAGCATATTCCATGAAAGGAACAAAATGAAATTTGGTGGAAATTCGTGGAATCAAACCTTTGATGTTAATAAAATGAAAAGTTGGACACAAACCGACGCACCAAGCAGAAGTGAGAGAAGTGTTTAGCCAGGTGTTCACTGAACCGATAAAACTGAAAAATTCGGAAATCGAAATCAACGAGGAAAAAGTGGAAAATAGCCACGAGAGGAGCTTTAGCATATACATATTCTAAATAATTATTCAAAGATTGGTATCTCCAAAGTCCGCCAATTCCAGTCATCAATCATCTATGACGGAGTGATATTGCCGGGCCAGGAACTTGAACCTCAACACCACATTTTTATCAACCGATTACCGGGACGCTCACTTGCCACTAGCATTTTGGAAGCCCCTGATCCCCTCATCACAGTCGAGCCTCTCCTGCCATCGACCTGCAGTCGTCCCGGTCCTGTGTTTGAGTCCAGAAACGGGGTCTTCCAAAATCCAACCGCAGGCAAGTATGATCGCTTTCTGAATAATTCCGTCCCTGAAACGATTATCACTTCTAGTCGAACTTCAACAATGAACTCCTTCGTGATTGACCCATGTTGGACACCGGGACGCACGCCTGCCATATGTGTTATGGAAGCCCCTAATTCATCCATCACAGTCGAGTTATTCCTGCCAGCAACCTCCAGCCGTCACTGTCCTGTGTTTGGATTTGATGAAGGGGTCTTCCAAAACCCTATCTCAGGCAAGTACGACATTATTTCGAACAATCCACTTCCTGAAATGTATTATGCCTACAGCCGATCATTTCCGATAAAAGCACAACCTGCTTTATTCAACTCGACACTCGGACGCACACTTGCAACTAGCCTTGTGGAAGCCCCTGATCCTATCATCGCAGTCGAGCCTATGCTGCCAGCGTTCAACAGTCGTCCCAGCCCTGCGTTTGAGTTAGGAGAGGGGGTCTTCCAAACTCCAACAGTAGGCAAGTATAATCAGCAAGCAACAACTGCTCTGTCTGAAAAATTCTTGGTTTCCAGAGTGCCATTGTATATGTCTGCTCCTCGACAATTGTGGTCTGAAGATAACATTAACAGTATACCAGCCCCACCATACCAGAAGCCGAGACGCTCCACAGAAAATTCACCGGAAGAAGCATTCAGATCCTCTGATCTAGTCCTGCCGAAGATTGACGACTTACACCATTATGATGAATCAACTTCTGTTTGTTTACTGGGACGCACTGCCGTTGGCATCATGGAAGCCCCCGAGCCCCCCGCCACAGTCGAGCCATTCCCGCCAGCGACCTGCAGCCGTCCCGGCCCTGTGTGTGGGCCTGGTGAAGGGGTCTTCCAACCACTCGTTTACGGCAAGTATGAACTCGTCCATGTGAATTCAACTGTTGATCCGCCACTTCGTTTCAGTTCATCTTCGCTTATGGCCACCACTTTGAGCCTTTCTACGTCAGGTGATCTTTCGCTGCCTGATAGTTCACCGTTCTCTCGTGCGGATCCTGGACAAGTTATCATTGACACGGCTCGCACCGAACCCTCTAGCGGTTTACGTGTCTACTATCAGAACACCAGGGGCTCATGACTAAATTGGACGATGTTTACCTGGCTGCACTTGACGGGGAATATGTCGTTTATGTATTCACGGAAACTTGGCTCGATGGGAGGATCAATTCAGTGCAACTGTTTGGTGACTCTTTTACTGTCTACAGATTAGACCGTAATTCATCCAACAGCATTCGTACTCGCGGTGGTGGTGTGCTCATCGCTGTTTCCAACGAATTCGCCTCCTGCGTAATCTCCAACGAACTATTTACTACAATTGAAGCGGTTTGGGTTAAGGTCAACCTCACTTCGCGGGACATCCTCATTGGAGCGGTGTATATTCCCCCTGAACGTCGACATGACTGCACCACAATGCAGCTTCATCTGGATGCTACAGAATTTGCATCGTCCATGGCTGATATAACGGATGTGCTTCTTCTGCTTGGTGATTTTAATCAGCCTAGGCTTAGCTGGTCACCCTCAGGCCAGGGTTATGCGTTTCCAGATCCGATTGCATCTTCAACTACTCCTGCCAGCCGCTTGCTTGTTGATGGCACGGCTTTTCATGGACTGAGCCAGATAAACCTTGTTCCCGATTTCCAGTCTCGTTTTCTTGACTTGGTTTTTGTTAGCGAAAGTGCACTTCTGGACTGTGTCGTCGTTGAAGCGCCTGATGTCATCGTTCCTCTTCCCTGCTTTGGATATATCTATCGCGAACGGATCTCAAATTCGTTTTGATGAAACCATGACTGCCACTCGGCTCAATTTCCGGAAGACCGATTTCCGTTTGCTGAGACGTTCCTTGTCCCGGATCAACTGGAACGTGTTGAATGACCTTGATATCGATACAGCAGCCGCTCGATATAATAGCCTTTTGCGCGACTGTTTGTGCTTCAGTACCGAAGTGCCAACCTCCAAGAAAACCGCCTTGGTCTAACGCTACTCTCCGCAACCTGAAACGAGTGCGATCTAGAGCTCTCCGTGCTCTCACTCATCGACGATGTACCCTTACCAAGCGAAATTTTTCAATTGCCAGCAATGATTATCGCCACTACAACAAGCTTCTTTACAAGAGGTATGTAATTCGTACTCAACATAATCTGCAATGCCACCCCAAGGGATTCTGGTCGTTTGTGAATACTAAGAGGAAGGAAACTGGACTGCCGTCAAAAATGTTTCTCGGCAATGACGTAGCATTGACAACTGAGGACAAATGCAGCCTATTTGCTAGGCACTTCTTAAGCGTCTTCTCGAATGACTCCCCATCGCAAGCAGAAATTGAGTGAGCCGTCCGTGATGTGCCAACCGACGTCGTAAACATGGATGTTTTTGCCGTAGATGTACAAATGGTTCTCTCTGTGATGAGTAAAACCAAATCATCATTTTCACCAGGTCCGAGTGTTATTCCATCTGCAGTCCTAAAAAAATGCTCCGATATCTTAGCTGCTCCGTTGTCCTTGCTCTTCAACCTGTCACTTCGTCAACAGAAATTTCCCGCACTATGGAAACGGTCTACTATGTTCCCTGTTTTCAAGAAAGGAGACAAACGCAATGTGGAAAACTACCGTGGGATTACCTCGCTTGGGGTTGAATCTAAAGCCTGGTACGCAGCTGAAAAGTAATGACGTTTTTATGTGCTACCGGATAGGACACGGAATGCAAAAGAAATTACTTTTCCTCAGCATTTCTTGACCCAGTACGCAGTTCAAAAGAAATCGGTAAAGGAAAGATCGATTACATTAGTATCGTGATCGACATGAAGGTGGCGCATTCTGAATGCAATTTCACTTTCCTTGCGGAATAATGGTCTGATCAATTATTCCGTTAGGAAATGTTGGCGTTTATTGCAAAACTGATGTTTTGGATGCATTTAAACAACATAAACACTAATAAGTGTTGATTTTACAATTTGACAACATCTCGCTATAATCTCAAAATTTAGCAGACTATAGCTGTCAAATTTTCTTTTGGGAAAAATCCTCAAAAATTACTTTTCCGTTTTCTTTTCAGCTGCGTACCAGGCTTAAGGTGTTTGAGTCGCTGATAAATGAGAGATTGTTTGCTTCCTGCAAGCATTACATAAGTACATGTCAACATGGTTTCTTTCCTGGCCGCTCCGTGGAAACTAATCTCGTCAGCTTTACGTCGTTCTGTATGGAAAATGTATGCAAGAAACTTCAAGTGGATGCCATCTACACTGATCTTAAAGCTGCGTTTGATAGAGTTTTGCACGACGTTCTGCTAGCAAAGCTTGAAAAAATTGGATGTTCTGTTTCCTTCTGCAGCTGGCTTAGATCGTACCTCGTGCAAGGTGAAGTTACTGTATGCATTGGAAACTACTCATCGTACTGTTTCTCGAACAGATCAGGAGTTCCACAGGGTAGCACTTTGGGACCAATGCTCTTCTCTTTATTTGTGAACGATGTAACGTTTATTCTACTACGAGGAGGTAAATTGTTTTTTGCCGATGACTTGAAGATTTATCTAGTCGTTCGAGGCTATGCCGACTGTTTAGAACTACAAAACCTTCTTGAAATCTTTAATGATTGGTGTGAACGTAATTTTATGGTCCTGTGCGTCTCAAAGTGCT